CCAGATCAAGTATCTCAGATTTCCTGGAAGGAGCAGAAGACTTGAAGGAGACCCTGCTGTTTTCCTGCAAAACAATGCGCACACTTCTGCAAGTGTAAACCGGAGATACCTGGAATAGCCTCCTTCTTTGACAACACAGACAATCCCTTCTATGACCGAGTCTCATATGCCACAACTCTATGGCATCAACATTCTCCACACCATTCTCCACAACTCGAATGCTTATCACCTCGAGCCATAACCATGGAACCCCTTGTGAGTTTCCATTTACCTCCTCCAAATAGACTATAGAAACCCTCATCATCAAGTTTCCCTTTAGAGATCAAGTTCAACCGAATATCTGGGACATGCTTAACTCCCTTAAGCAAAANTCTAGTACCAACACTAGTCTCCAAGTAAATATCACCAATGCCAGCAACCTTGGCCATTGCATCATTACCCATCTTCACAGAACCATAACTACCTGGAGTATAGGTAGTGAACAAATCCCGCTGCGATGTAGCATGAGTAGTAGCTCCACTATCAACAACCCAACTGGTGTCTTGGCATGCAACATTAATGGCATCACTCTCAAGAAGAATAAGAAACTGATCTTCGGTGAGAGTCACCCGATCTTCACCATCTTCTTGCTTCTTTCCAAGTTTGCTGTCCTTTTTCAACTTCCAGCAATCCTTCTTCATGTGCCCTTTCTTATGACAATAATGGCACTCCAAGTTAGCAAATTTGTTAGATTTGCTCCTGCTCCTGTTCTTGTTACTCCTGGGCTCTCTATATGAACTCCTCCCCCTCGACTTAGAAACCATTACATCTGAAACGCGAGAAACTAGGACTAGACTTCCTCCTTAATTCCTCATTCAAGACACTGTTCTTCACTAAGTCCATCGAAATCACACCATTCAACGCGGAGTTACAAAGAGACATCGTGAACACCTCCCAAGAATCTGGTAATGTACCAAGAAGCCACAAACCGTGAGTCTCATCCTCAAACTTAATTCCTATGTCAGATAATTTATTGAGTAATCCCTGAAACGCATTCAAGTGATCCGCCATCGGAGTTCCCTCCTAGTACCTCAGCTCAATCAATTTATTGATCATGTACATCTTATTATTCCCGGTCTTCCGAGCAAACANCTGCTCTAGCTTCAACCACAAAGAACNAGCATCANTCTCATTTTCAATATGATTCCTCACATTATCATCCACCCATTGCCTTATCAAACCACACACTTGGCGATGTAGCAACTTCCACTGATCTTCAGTTTTATCCTCAGGTTTCTTCTCCTCGAAGACTGGAACATGAAACTCCTTCACATAAAGGAGATATTCCATCTTGCCTTTCCAAATATGATAATTAGAACCATCCAAGCTGATCATCCTGCCCATATTTTCCATTGCTCACAAAAGCAAACAACCAATAACCAAAGTTTTCAAACCACAAAGCTCTGATACCACTCTGTTGGGGAAAAAAAAATAAGCACCAATGGCGTAGCGGAATAAATTTCCCCACACTTATGTGAACCTATGAGAAAAATATAGAATACGACAGCAGCAAATCAAAGCAGTAAAGTAAATGAGACAACGAATTATTTTACGTGGAAAATCTCCTCGATGTGAGGAGTAAAAACCACGGGACCGTAGTCCACTCAAAAATTCACTATATCAAATTTGAGTTACAACCACGTCCTCCCTGTTCCCACAAAACAGATCCAGAAACTAAGGCCCCAAAGAGCAATCTCCAACACAAGAAACACCACAAGAGAGCAATAGAAAAGCCTAGAAACAAGCAGTCCCAAAAGACCCTAAATTCACTAGGATTCCGGTCACCAAATCAGATCTCCACCGTACAAATCCTAGATCAACAAGTCAGGAATACCTCTGCCAAATTTCAGCTCAAACCAAGAAGAATTCACTGTCGGATTTCTCAAACACTCAAGACAACACAGTCTGGAATCTAAACTTGCAACTGCAGCGAACAGCTTCGCTAAAACCCAGATCTGCGACGAACCAACCGTTGAAATACAATCTCCACCGTTGAATATAAATATTACTGAGTCACAAAGCTAACCCAAAAATTTCAGCCAAAGAGGAGCACGTTTAATCCTCCAAACGTTCTTTTGAACAAACCCTGATGAAACTGTTTTTCTCCTACGAAACTGTTTTTCTTCAATTTTTTTCTCTCTTTACCAAAATTAGATTTTGGAGTCATATATATACTCCCTCATAACTCTTAACCCAATAACAATCTTATGCATCATAATAGGCCCAAGTTTGGTTATTCTTAAACCAAACCCAAATTGGTTTCCCCGGTAGAAGGAAAACCAACAAAACTCTCTTCTACCTTTTGGGTCTTATGTTTTGACCCTGCATCGTAACGGACACTTTGGTTACAGGAGCATGGGCATGGAAGATACAAGAGTATGGACCATTCATACATATGCAACTTTAAGCTATAAAACATTACTTACACATACGAAAGATACAATAAATCTAACTAGTTGAACTTCCTCGCAATTAATCATAGTCCGTGTAATGCACGACTTGAAGTGTTTAAAGTTCTTGCGGTTTTGAGGCTTTAAATTTCAAACATCAGAACTTCGCCTAGAAATAATTTACACGCATACACAGTTTATTAAAATGCTCAAAGTCAAATATAATATTTTATAACTGTTTGATTTTTTTATTTTTTTCTAATTCAATTAGACTAAACAAAACTTTATTAAATGCTGATAAGTAATTATAATTGTAGAATTATGAAGTATAAATGATTAACTTAGCCGTAATAAAAGTTGATCATATGAGAAAATTAAAATAGTAATGAGCAAATAGTAGCTGGTTGTATTTACTTTTTGTGCTGAGAAAAGAGTTCCAGCAATGAGAAAATACAAGGGAACATGCATATCTAATGATCGCACAGAATCACATGTAAGGCATATTTGGTAAGTGAATATCATATGATTACTATCGTAATGTACTATAACCTGTGACCATGACATGCGATACAAGCAAAAGTTGGGTTGATTACAGTAACACGGTCCCAAATGAGTGGTAAGAGTTGGAACCATCGTACACCAAGTTGACTGCACAGTGAATCATATATTCTATTTTCAATGATAGTTCATATCATATGATGTCTCCAATAGTCACTCATGT